AAAAAAAAAAACATACATAGGTTCCGGTGTAGAACAAAACCTCCTCTTTCGAACGATCTAAAAAATCGTGCCAAAAACATTTAATTGACACGCGGCATATTAACACGTTCCGTGCCGAGCTTTTTTACTCGAATCTTCACACTTTGATATTTTACTAAAACTTGATGTGTTACGTGCAATTATTAATTCTCGTACACATAACAACGTAACAAAAACTTATCAACGCCCATTCTTGCGGTGGAAATTGATTCTTCGGTTCTAAATTTCTTGTAAACAATTTGTTCAGTTCACTAAGTAAACATGCAAGCGTGTACCATCGATGGTACACGTGGCACGGAACGTGTTAAAATGAATGTACCAAAAGACCTTCGAGTCTCGACGACGCGAAGAGAGAAATGATAAGAGAATCGCTCGGCTGACTGTTCGCAGAGAATCCGTTGCACTGCGACTGCGAGTCGCAAGAACTCTGGGAATGGTTGAGAGATCATCAGAAGCTGGTTAGCGGAGTGGGCGGCGGCCGTGGTCGGCGAAGAAACGGCGTCGGTGTCGAGAACGTCGAGGGCGGCCTGCTGAGATGCGAGCAACCGCAGGAGCTTCGGGGCCAGGTTTTCGTCGATCTCGATCCGCACGCTTTCTGCTCGACCCCGCTGGTGCTGAAGCTCGCGATCCAAGACATCCAGCCGTTCTCCGTCCTGGTCTCCTGGCAGAGCAGAAACCACTCCGGGCTGTACGGTTACCAAGTGGCCTATCACTCCCTGGACAATGTCGACCAGGTTGGTACAGCTCTAATGAAAGTACGAACCGAGCCTTCGACCTTAGATCATCGTTACCCTCCGCTAAGCTCCCAGCTGGCTGACGGAGCCCGCCAGCTCTGGCTTAGACCTTAGATTGTCCGGGGCGCATTAAGATGATTAATGCGTGGCCCCTCCTGCCCCCGCGTGCCCCTTCCCGTTCTTTTCACCGCGGGAGGGATTTGAATCGTGCTCGCCTCGAGTACGATGCACCCTTCACAATGAATTCAGAAAATATTCGTAACGCTTCCTTGTCCCGGAAGCATTTAGGTGCTTTCTAGCTTTTTTCGAACATTAGCATTCTTCCCCCGCGTTTCTCATATTGCTATCCCGAGACGAATTTCCCGAATGTCTGACATTATGCAACAGAGACGAACAGACAGTTTCGTTGTTTCACGCGATTCCTTGCAGTTTCAAAGAGGCTTACGAAGACGAATGGAGGAATCGTGTTTCCAGGATCGACGTTCTTCGGTTGATAAGGCGCCGAACGAAAGGTTCGCAGGACCCGGTTGGCCCGTAATTAAGTCGTTCGATCGATCGTGTTGCAGGTTCGATGGACGAAGCTGGATCCGAAGGCCCGGTCGGTGAAGCTGACGAAGCTTGCGTCGGACACGAGGTATCTGATTTGCGTGCTGGGCCTGGGCAGCTGGAGCACGCCGATCCCGGAGGACATCGGTTCCTGGCAGTGGAACGCGTCCCACGACGACATGACCGAGGGCTCGGCGCTGCCAGTGATGATCAACTCGAGGACCGGCCTCTGCACGGAGGTCCAAACGCTGGACGCTCCCGACTCGATCGTCGGCGACGGGACGCTGAGCGACAGGGGCGGCCTGGCGACCATCCTGACGAGGAGGCTGGGCCTGATAGTGGGCAGCTGCATGGGCTTCGTGGTGTTCGTGGTGCTGATCTCTGTCCTGGGCTACATGAAGATGAAGAAGCAACGGTCCACGGAGAAGAGGGACCAGCCCCTGTCCTCGAACCCGCAGGCGTACATGTCCTACAGGCATTTCTCGCTGCAGAGCGGCGACAGGGCGGACAACGCCTGTCCCAGCTTCATCAGCAACATCGGCACCACGCCCCTGAACTCGTAGCACAGGCCGAAGGAGTTCCGCAAAGAGACTGATCGCTGCGGCATCGAGATGAACAGCGTGCCGAATTGCGAGGGGATCTTCGGATAGAGGACGACCAGGGTGCCATGCGTTATCGGCCGGCCCCGTCCGCCCCCCTGCGACAGGTCCGGCCCGCGCCCGGCCCGTTACGACGGACTGTTTTCGTTTGTTGATGTAGCTGGGCCGTTCCGAGGCTGGCTGGCTGTCCGAGCGTCCGATCGAGACAAGTGCCAAAATTGATGAGCCGCTGCGAATCGAGCACCGGTTTCCATTTCGATGATCGAAAATAGAACGGAAACGGAGATCCAGCGGTGTTATTGGCTCGCCGTTGGCAGATACGGGACGAGCGATTCGTCGACTGGACACTCGAGACATTCGATGAACGATCGCCCGACCGTTTAAGTAGACTTTTACCGATACGATCCTCCGACCAGCCACGAGAACCGAACAACGACGCGAGCGACCCCATTTTTCGAACATTCGAATCTCTCCTACGAAGACTGATTTTTTAACGACCGTTCCTCCCGTCCCACCCTCCACCAACATCGTCATCCTCCACGCCTAACCCCGAGAGCCCCTCTGCCGCCCACCTTTTCCAGCTCATCGTTTTCAACGTTCGTGTTCCATGTACGCGAGGGATGACTGTTTTTTGTAAATAGAAATGGCGCACGGGACGGAAACTGCCGCGACTCAACGACGTCCTCGTCGTCGATCCTAAACACTGTGCCGGGACGGAGACCGGTTTACTTACCTGTCCTCCTCTTCCTGCTCCTCGTCCTCATCCTTCTCCTCTCCCTTCTTGTCCTCCTGCTCCTTCTCAGCTGCGCAAGCAATATTACACTTTAACTCGTAATCGATAGTCCGAGAGAGAGAGAGACACGAGAAAGGGTTACCGCGAAATCGAGACACCGGCCTCGATCGACAACGATTTTCACCGACGAACAGCTGGAAAGTCCACTGTTTCGCTCGACAATGAGTCAGATCGAATCTAATCTCGGCTTCGGTCGGATCAAATCTGACCTCTGCTTCGGTCGGATCGAATTCTCTAAGAGGTCACGTACGCGAATTAGAATTAATGCACAGCACAGTGATTTTGCTCGAGACCGAATCGATCGAACATTTCCGAGAAAGAGGAATCATCGTCGCGTCGCATCGTAGACTAGTGAAAGAAAAAGATTGTACGTCGTTGTATTCGCAATCGTAGCGCATAGAGAACATCCGAAATGATTTTGATATTTCACGAAACGATGGAGCGTTCGGCGAGACACGCGTTGAATATCCGTTTGTCGGTGAAGATCGTTTGTTTCGATCGAATCCGGTGTCGATGATTCGGACGCGACTCGAACGGAACGGAGAAACATCGAAAGAGAATCGGCACCACGAGCAAACGTTTGAACCAAGAACCGGTCTTCTAGAAGACTTCGTCGTTTTTTTCGAACATCTTAGCCCCCTGTCTGGGCGACCACGACCGGAAGTCGCGTCGGTCACCGACGCGCCGCCATCTTTGCGATCGTCCGTGTGGTCGTCTCGAAGTTGAAACGCCGATCGTCCGGGGATCTTCTCGAATTGTGACTGATGTTAAACGCGCGATGTGAACTCCTGCCAAGTAAACGAGAGAGAGAGAGAGAGAGAGAGAACAGAGGGGAGGAAAAAAGTCGATTTTGAGTTGCCAAATGTTACGGACGGTGACGTTGCGGAAGATGGATTTATTGTATATAGATAGAGGATATGTATACACATAGCATTCTTTATTATAGCCTAGGTTTTCGGTTAATAAAAATACACCAAAGCTACCAGACGCCGGTTCCTTTCAACCCTTCTTCGAGGAGCGGTCTAGATGTGTCGACGAAAGAAATTTCTATGCGACGCTGTTTTCAGGGAAAATGGAGTTCGAAATGGAGCACCGAGAAAGCTGAAAATTCTGGAGATCTTTCGAAATCGATGTATCGAGCTCCCTAACTGACGCTCAGATTGTGCAGAAAAATGGACAATTTCAGAAGAGGAAATACCATTATTCGAGCCTTGCAGCTCGTTTTTATAGTTGTCGACAATTCGTGACTATAAAAATGAACCGCAAGGATGGAATAATCGTCTCCCTTATAAATGCAACTCACGTGCATTTATATTGTGGTAATTAATAAGAAATTGTTAATTCTAGCGGTATTTTTAGGTACTTTTAGATTAAGTAATCGTTACTTTTCTAAAGAAAAGGGACCTATGATGACACTTGCATTTTTTCGGAAACTGAATTCTAACTGGTCCAAAATTTTACTGTAGACCTAGGTGGACGACCAGTTACGGAGACTAGTGGGATCGATTTCCGAAGAGATCCCAAAAATCTGGAAAATGAATTCTACTAGTCTCAGTAACTGGTCCCGCTAGGTCGACAGCAAAATTTTGGACCAGTTACTGAGACTAGTGGAATTCATTTCCCGAATTTTTGGGATATGTCTGGAAATCCATCCCACTATTCTCAGTAACTGGTCCACTTAGGTGGATAGCAAAATTTTGGACCAGTTACTGTGACTATTAGAATTCATTTTCCGGATTTTTGGGATATGTCTGGAAATCAATCCTACTAGTCACAGTAACTGGTCCACTTAGGTGGATAGCAAAATTTTGGACCAGTTACTGTGTGACTAGTAGAATTCATTTTCCGAAAAAATGAAACTATGAAACTGACATCATAGATCCCTTTTTTTGGAGCAAAGTAATCATTACTGAATCTCAAAGTACCGCTAGAAGTAACAATTTATTATTAGTTACCAAAATATAAATGCCTTTCGAATCAGCGCGAGCCGAGCCAACGAGCGCACGAAGCCCAATTTCGCTCATTGTCTTAGCCTCGTTTCGCGTCAGCTGATCTCGCCTCCCATTGGTCAGCGTTTTTCGTCATTAACTCCCAAACAACGCCGCGGATTGCATTTTCGCTAAGGAAAAACTTCCTTCAAATTACCTGAGAAATCCCACATTTCCCGCTTGTACGATCATTTTGGGACACCCTGTATTTACAGAATTATGATAATGGACGGAGGGAAGACGCAATGGAATCAGGTGAGTGTCCAAAGGAAAAGTCCTATCGATTTACGGCAGAGAGGCGATTAGGTGAGTATCCGAGCCACGTCGGGCTATACCTGGCCGCGTATCATTGACGATCCATTACGTCAGATCTCTCGTACGACTAATTAATTAATTGTAATGGCGACTCGGTCCAAGCTGCTTAGCGCGAGCTTGCGGCTCGCTCAGGTTTCGTAATTAACTCCGGGCCACGCGGGTTATATCCCAGAGCGTCAATCAGTTCTGATCTGGCACGTCGAAACCAAAACAACCCGCTCCGGGGATATATCGAATTGCTCTCCGCAATAATGCTCGCCTGAATGCGTACTCGGGATCCGCAACGATTCTACACGGAACAATGCAAATCCGCCGCAACACTGTGAAATCCCTCCTTCCTTGTTATTACAATCGCTGCCTAAGAGAACGAAACACGTTCTGCTCTTTTCCGGAACAGTTTTTTAATACCTTCGCGACGAAACGTCCGATGCTGCGATTAAAAGATCATTCGGAAATCACGATAAAACGCTTGATCTGCCGAGCGCAGTTTCGCCGGTTCTCTTCAAATCGTCACTTTGAATAATAATAAATTATTCCGAAGAATAAATTATTCAGATCGATACACGGCAGAGGCTCTCTTATCCGAGGATTTATTTCTGTAATAACCCGATATCGAGACGATTCTATTACGTAAAAATTTCATTTCGAGCTCTCTGCGAGATGATAATGCATCGAAATAACGCATTTATCAGACAATATTAGGTTGGTGCATATGAAATGTCGGATTTCTTTCACATGCGAACGTTTGTCTCCCTGTTTTCGTTATGCTTTTGTTTTTGGCATAAGCTCGCTTATAGTCGTATTGTTCATTGCCAGAGTCACGTTTGAACAAAAAAGATTTTCTCAAAAGTGTTCCATTTTGTTATTTGTTTTGCATTTCGCAAGGATACGAATTCAACCGATATTCGTGTAATTTTTTTATACGAGCATAAACTTGGCAATAATGCTGCAAAAGCTGCGCGCAATATAAACCAGGAGTTTTGAGAGAATACCGTTAACGATTGAAAAGTGTAGATTTTATCATTAGATACAGCCTTCAGTTGCAAAGCGATTAAATATTATGCGCTTCGATTCAGCATCGTCCGTAATTAGCTCCGCAATTTTCTATCGATTGCAACATGGAGAAAGTGGCGCGAAGGAAGGCAACAGTTTCCGAAATCGGCGAAATAGCTCACGACATACTTGACGAATTAGCAAGGGCGTGTTCCTGCTCGTTAGCGGCCGTCGGACATTTTCCGGGAGTCGGCATTGTCCGCCGGCAGCAATCCGGATCGAAAGTTTCTGATTGGATTTTTCGGAAAGTCGCTGGCCGGGGCATTGTCGAATCGAATTATCCCGAATCCGTTTCGGAGGACCGGCCGGTCCAAGCATATAGGATTAGCGTGGGAAAGCAGCTCGGTTGAGAGCCCATGAGAAAAGATCCCGGCAAAACCTGTACATTAATAGCGTCCGCGGGCAGGCCTGCGCGCAATTACCCGGCGTAATTAACTCCGGGAGTTCGGCCGGCTGCCATACGTCGGCCACGGCCGCCATCTCTGCGACTAGAGTCGATTGAAATAACGTCTAGCGAACCGGACACGTACCGTTCCCTACGAAAATCACGGGGAAATTCCCGGCATCGACGTCGGATCTAACTCGCGGCCGCAAATTAAGAGCCGCGGCGCACGATGACATGTTCATAATTAAAATGGATTCAAACGGCGCGCACGGCTCGCCTGAATAGTCCCCCCGGGGCTGCTTTCAGAACCGTTTTTCAAACAACGCCACAATTTAGCGGCACCAATTGTTCGCTGTTAAATCGCGCGAGCTTAACGATGTTCTCGAGACCGGTGCTTTTTGCTCGCGGCGCGACGCTCCGCGTTTCGATGTTTGTTGTTTCCCGCGGAGTCGCGCCGCACTGGATGCCGCGGCAAAGGCTGCGGTTTTTTATGCAAATTTTCCGCTCGCAGGAAACGCAGAGCAGAGCCGAAATAATGTAGGATGGCTTTTCCGCGGCGCTGCGCGCAGCCGCTCGGAATTAAACAGTATTTTGCGGCGGAAGCGGTCGCTTATTGCTTCTTGGGCAGCTTCGCGGGTTTCGGACGAGTGCTGGGACTCTGCGATGCGACGACACTGTTCGACATAATCGAACTCTTCTTGTAGAGCTTCATTTCTCGATCAAGAATGCGAAAACTGATTTGCTTCATCGGCCTCGGTTTTCGAAAGAAACGAGCTTTTGTAAAAAAATCAGAATTTTCGACAAAAATGAAGAATTGCATGAAAAGTACATTGAAATGAAAAGTAAAAACGTTAAAAAGTTCTAATCGGTCTTAAAAGATAGAGGAGAGTTTTCCGGATGCAGTGGCGTGCAATATATTAATTGTTTTTGGTACTGAATAACTATGAATTAATGTCAAAGTTGACGGAACTGTTT